ACAGTATATATATATATATATATTTTTTTTTTTTCTCCACACATATGTATGTTAAGTTTCACTACAGTTTTTTTCTTAAATGGGACATATCATATATTTTTAATTAATTTCAGAATACCTATTCCCTCTTTGGTCCAATTATAATGTTATTCATTATTTTTTTTGTGTGTCAACAAGTCAATTTCCTCTACTGTTTGATTGCTTGTATCATCGCAAAATGTAAAATATATTATCGCCCTAATTCATTAAGATATTATAAACATTAACATCATGATTTTCTGTTCTTTTCTTTCTTTTTTTCTGCTCTGAACTGCTCTATTGTGAAAAGCGCTATACAAACATTTGACTTGACTTTGGTGCTGTTATTGTATATGTTCATAGTACATTGATCTACTTTACAGTTTCTCATGATACTACCCATTTAAATCAGATACACTGTGTGTGTTTTTTTCCTTTTACATAAAATATTCTATTTTTCTCAGGCATGGAACCTCCTACCGTTTTAGATCGCCAGCAGCGGCAGTAGCAAACATTTGGAGTCCTCAGGTCCTCTATGTTGATCTCATTCACCACTTTAGGGTTTTCTTTTTGGATCTTCAGATTTATTAGACTGTCTCTTTGCTTTTTCTTCTTGGGCAGGAAGGGCCGGATGGTCAGATAACCCAACAGAGCCAAAATGCCCAATAACGGTAGGAGCCGCAGCCACTCTGAAACTGAGACACAATCAAGAGTTACAGCTCATCATAGAGTTTGCTGTATTCTTAATTATCACATTAACAACATAATCTACTTAGTGAGAGCTCTTCTGTTTACTGTGGGAAAAAAAAGCGTGGTAAGTGACAGATAAAATAATATTCAATGATTAACACACTTATCATATTTATACACATGTGCATTAGTGAAAATTAACCTGTCATGAACTGTTGAATTACACAATAACCGTTGCTTATTTTAGTTGTTTGTAAAGGCTGCTTTAACATATTTAACGTTACAGATACAAATAGTTGTGCATTTATTGTGCCACCTTTTATAATACTATAATAAAGCAAAGCATGCTGTCAGATGCTCTGCATATGTTGTCCTTCACATTTCTAAAACAGACACTCACTGTTGTGGATATTTTGGATACGAAAGTAGAATCACTTGTGCAAGGAGACACTACATATTGAGTATCTTCTCAAGAATGTGCATGGAAGGTGGCATTTTTCCAACCAGTTTATAAGTTATGACTTATTTGAGCGTTTAACAGACGGAAAACAGAGACACTGACATCACTCTTTCTATGCAGGCATGCGCGCTTAACTTAACTTTCCTCCTACGCTTGTGACATTTTGCGTGATAAAACACATACCTGTGAGTCTCGCAAAGCCGCCGATTGTGTCTGGAAGGGGTAGTTTCTTGAGGTAGGCTGGAAGTTGCATTTTGATAATCCTGGAGATACTTTCTAACACCATCTTGAATGATTTTGTGCGCTTCTAATTGAGAGACAGCAGGATATTTCCTGGGACATTGTACGTCGTCGCGTTAGTTCACTTGCGTAGTCGTTTCCGTTTGCTCGTTGAAGAGGCGCTACTCGAGGCTGGAAGAATCTACGTAGCTGTGACCGTGAATAAGCGTAAGCGCACGACGCGCAGTAAAAGCGTCAACCAATCAGCATCTGCAGAGTTGGTTGCGCCCGATTGGCTGCTTTCACCGCGCCACTTGCTTTTGGTTTTGTTGGCTCTTTACCCTATGCTCTTTACTTTAGTCTCGTACAGAAAAAGAGTCAGGACAATAACAAACGAATACTTCATAAATAATCAAGTTAGAGATACCCTGTTAAGAAATTTGAATTGAATTATTATTTGAATTATTTGATTTAATTTGAATTTTGTAATTCTTGCAAACTGTATGGTGCTGCAAAAGGAACTTTTTCGTGTGAATATGCAAGATTGTTTTGACAGATTTCTCGAACTTTTCAAGAATCTTTGGTTTTATTATTATTATTATTATTATTATTATTATTATTATTATTATTATTATTATTATTATTATTATTATTATTATTATTATTATTATTATTATTATTATTATTATTATTATTATTATTATTATTATTATTTTAAACAAATATCATGATGTAATTTGATTTTTGTACATGATAATATTGCTTGTGATATTATTTTTTATCATACATCTCTTTATTTTACTACGAAAGTATCATATTCATGTGAGAAAATGGACTAAAGCTAAGCCATATTTTATTCCGTTTATACGATATTAAATAATATGGATCTGCTTTTAAATAATAATAATAATAATAATAATAATAATAATAATAATAATAATAATAATAATAATAATAATAATAATAATAATAATAATAATAATAATAATAATAATAAATCTGTCTTGTTATTTCCTTTCATTTTTCCCTGTCTGTCTTGCAAAATTTAAACTAAAAAAAATAATAATAAAATCTAAATATGGATACAAATGGATACAGTGTACAGTGTCACTTTCTGTGGTGTAATAATGGTGCAAAGAGTAATATTATTATTAATAATAATAATAATAATAATAATAATAATTTACTGTTGATTATATATAATCCGATTAATTATTATGTTATATTACATTACATTAACATTACATTATTATTCAAGGCAGTCATGAAAGAACAACATTCTCCAGCATTCCTTGCGCTTTTGAGAAAATAATGTCCGTTTTCATGGATTAATTTAAAACGCCGAGCTAAATTTATTTCTAAAGTCACATTTAATTATATGGTGTGTTGTACGTGTTATTTACGCCCTATAAAGGCGTTTCTTTCTCTTCAGGCATCTAGCAGGACTACTATGTGCGCTGCCGTTTAGGTCCATGTCTGTCCGGTGTCATTGGTGAATGACCGAAGATGTCTCATAGCAGGTTGTTTGCCCGGTTGCTCTGTAAGTAAAACAGACATGAGTGTTGTTACATTTGAAACACATCGCTGTCTTTGTTTTGACATTACTGCATCCGCTATTCTACACGTTGGAGTCGTTTATCTCGTTATTTTCATTGAACAGACACAGTGAGCTAATGCTAATGCTGTTGTGTTGGTGTTGGTGTTATCAGCACCAAGTGTAACATATTTAACAGTGAACTTCTGAAACGTGACCTTTACTGGTAAATATGCTTAATTTCAAACTCATCGCGAGGTTAACTTATTAAAATGTAGTTAATAGAGCAATGTTAGTGAACTTGAAATGTTGCAGTCTGACAGCAGTATCATTTAATGTAACCAAGTGCTTATTTATGTGTTGGAAAGGAAAGAGTCTGTGTCTTGGCTACAGTTATTTTACTTTGCTTAAGCTTAATAGCTTAAGTTGACAGGTAGTACATGATGACTAGTGTGACAAGCTGTGTGATTAGATGGTCCATCCATTTCTCTAGGTTAAAGTTCACTTTGAACCACTCATAGACAACCTTATCTACTCAATAACATAGCCATTTTGCGTGAATTTCTACAGATGTGAAATAAATGCAACAATACATAGCATTACACTATAATTTCATTTAGCATACAGTTGGTTCTGAAAAAGTATAGTATGCAGTGTATCGCAGTGAGAGAGAAGTTATTCAGCACTACTTTCTGTGAGTGAAAATTCCCTTATTGGCATTGCACAAGACTGGAAGAGTTAAAGGCACATTCAGAGGCAACAAGATGAAAAGAAAATACCACGTAAACTTTTTCTAAAGACAGTCAGAGATACATTCATATAAACTCCTACCCCAACTGTATCGTGATTTGTTTAGCATCTCAACCGATTTGAATCGTCACATATTTGAATCGATTTTCAACTGGCTCGCGGTTAATCGTTACATCCCTACTATGAGTGGTTTAAAGTGAACTTTAACCTAGAGAAATGGCTGGACCATCTAATCCTGTCAGTTGTGATCAGTAGCCTGTTTCTTGAAGTCATGTTTTTTTGTTGCATCATTCAGGAGATAAAACTCTTTGCTGTTCACTTAGCCTATAAACTTATTGAAATTTATAGTTCAGCATGGTGCTTTGTAACTAGTGTTGTCGGTTTGACCCCTGTCTTATTTCCAAATAGGGCTGCACGATTAATCGAAATTAAATTGCAAAGGCGATAAATCGCGATTAGGCAGAAGCTGCGATTGTCATGCATATCTTTCAGTGAAGCACGGTTCTGTGATCAATAGTAAATCTCCATCCGAAGACCAGAGGGCACTCTCGCGCTGAAACTCCAAGTACGCCTCGCAGAAGAAACCCAGGAAATCCATATAGCGGTTGCTGAATAAACCGAAGATTTAACTAGTGGTCGACCGATATTGGTTTTTTGACAGCCGATGCCGATATCTTGGAAAGCCGATGGCCGATATAAAGCCGATATAATTTTATTTTTATTTTAATTCATATTTATGAAATTTGAAATCATTTGAAAATGGATTAAAAAATAAACGTGTAAAATAAACATACTTATACTCTAGAAGATAAAGTATTTTTCACAAAAAAATAAATATTTAATAAAAATATAATTAAAAAGGAAGTAAACACTGTAACCAACAGGGCACTCAGTATTCTGGGAAGTTTGTGTGCATTGGGAATCATATTTTTTCAAATAAAGCCAAGGTAACACTCATTTTACATACAGCACACAGTGAAAATGACATGAATATAACAGCCCTATTTCCAAACTATTTGAGGTCAAGGCAGCATGACCTTTGGACATCAGATCCTGTAGGGAACTTACAGAGTAATGTGAATGAAACTTCTTAGGCCTAGACCAAGTTTACTAATGTAGCTGCCAAGTTGACTTTAAAACCTGCCGGTTTATTTGGAAGTTTCCTGATTTAATTTAGATCAAACATTTGCATTTAGTGTGGCAGATGAATAAATAACCTGCAGGCAGGTGTGTTGGACCCAGAAAATGTTATGAAGATATTTATAGAAACGGCAACATTTGGTCATGCAGACCTCACTAAGAAATGTAAAAATATATTTAAAAAAAAAAAGGTTTATTAGGTGTATTTACTGAATCTTGCTTCTCATTCCACTGCTGTTGTGTTTGTATTTGCAGTGCAGCAGGCCGGGGGGAGACACTGTTATACTGGCAACAGGAAGAACCTTTACATCAACAAGAACACTAAGGTCATCTGTCAAGGCTTCACAGGAAAACAGGTGAGTAGCCACAGTCTCTGTTCCCCACAGCACCCTGTATTTCAGCCCAAATATCTGAAAAGGCTCTCCTGTAATTTTATTAAGTCACTCACTAATTGGAATGCAGTCTACTTGGTTGTGGCCTGTCTAAGTGAGAGTAACTGGCTGAGCAACAGCAGTAAATCTCACTGTATTTTAAACTTGATTATCTGCTCACCATAATTAAACATAAGATGTTAGTGATGCACTGAAATCAACAGTTTTGGAGGGCAAAACTGAAAGCTCTCTCCTCCACATCACGAGTAGACACGCCCCTTATTGCTGATTGGCTACAAGTTTGTTTTGCTATTCGGCCCGAATCAGTTTTCTAAAGTGTTTTTGAAAAATCACATACCCTGCCTTTAAGAGAACCAAAAGTTTCAAAAGTAGCAATACTCTTTCGCAGATTACAGTAAAATGCTCTGACCATTTAGATTTTCTACTATATTACTTTTAAAAGAGAAATATATATATATATTTATTTAAAGAGTTATGCACTGATGACAGTGAAGTACAAGCAACCAGTACAAGCAAATTCTTGAAGTACAAGCAACTTCTCTCTCACTGCGATACACTGCATACTATACTTTTTCAGAACCAACTGTATGCTAAATGAAATTATAGTGTAATGCTATGCATTGTTGCATTTATTTCACATCTGTAGAAATTCACGCTGAATCTTGCTTCTCATTCCACTGCTGTTGTGTTTGTATTTGCAGTGCAGCAGGCCGGGGTGAGACACTGTTATACTGGCAACAGGAAGAACCTTTACATCAACAAGAACACTAAGGTCATCTGTCAAGGCTTCACAGGAAAACAGGTGAGTAGCCACAGTCTCTGTTCCCCACAGCACCCTGTATTTCAGCCCAAATATCTGAAAAGGCTCTCCTGTAATTTTATTAAGTCACTCACTAATTGGAATGCAGTCTACTTGGTTGTGGCCTGTCTAAGTGAGAGTAACTGGCTGAGCAACAGCAGTAAATCTCACTGTATTTTAAACTTGATTATCTGCTCACCATAATTAAACATAAGATGTTAGTGATGCACTGAAATCAACAGTTTTGGAGGGCAAAAATGATTGACCAAAACTGTGACATTTAATTTGTGCTTCTCTGATAGAGAAAGTGTATTTTCCTTGCAAACAATGTGAATAAACTGCAACTGGTAAACATGTCAGCTGTGTGAATGCCAGTGCTGGATTAACAATATTGATTTCTTGTTTTTAACCAATCTTCATTTTGATGAACCAGTGCTGTTTTTAGTTAATGCATGAACAAACCTTCACTAAACACTATTTGTTGCACACTTGCCATCCAATAATCACAATAAGCTTTGTGCTTTATTATATTTTTTACACTGTGAAACAAAGTCTGAGCTTTCAAATTCTGTCAATTTGATAAAATTCAAACAACAAATTTCATTATG